TAGAAATGTTTTGTTCTCATACAAGTTGCTTTTGGGCGGGGGGCAGGGGAGATTGTGAAACTGCCTTCTAATTATTGCATAAATGGCTCTATGGAGAGGTGGCAAATTATTTAACTGCCTTTCATAAAAGGTGCTATAACAAAGAGCATGAAGTAAAATATACTCCTTTGCACAGAACTGAAATGAGGTGGCATGAGTGTAAGTGTACACATCCATAATTCATATCAGTATGAAAAACCAATGGCACTGTCTTGATGACGTTTCAGCTTCTGGCAATTCAAAGTTCTGTGGTTAATTCAAAATAAAACACAAAAACCACCTCCATTACTACTTTTAAAAGGATTTTAAAAGGTGTTACTTTTTTTGCACTTGTAAAGTGCACATATATATATGTGTGTGTGTGTGTATGTGTATATCTCTGTGTGTGTATAGGCGTGTGTGTGTGTGTGTGTGTGTGTGTGTGTGTGTGTGTGTGTGTGTGTGAATAATGTATGTATGTATGTACATATGTTTTTATGGGGGGGGAGATGAGTGGTGTAGGGTCAATCTCAAGATTTTGCATGGGTTTGGGACATGGGGCTGATCTCATGCTGCCTCAATCTGGCCATGTGCTGCCTGCCTCCCCATTCTGGCCCACAGGGCTCCCCATGGGTGCAGAAATTTGGCAGCACGAGAGTTAACACTCCCACCACTCTTCCAATACCAAATTTCCTGACCCTTAGGAAGCCCTGCTGCCCAAAAGATACAGCTTCATGGGCTGGATCTGGCCCAACGGTTGAGCACCGTTCTTATATAGGTTCCTCTCCTGTCTTTATCATCATTGTAGTTAAATATTTTCAATAATGCATCAAGTGACATAATTGTCTAATAATTGTTACATGCTGGCTGTTTTTTCCTGTTCTCCCCAGAAGGAAAAGTGTGTTTAGTGGGGTAGTTTTGTTTTGCTTTTTGTTTTAACATGCATGCTATCTCTGTACATAACAGAAGAAAGCTCAGAGAAGCAGAAGTTACAGAAGTTTTGTGCATGATGGTCATTTCCCAGAAATATGACCCAAGCCCTGGTTCTTCTTCTCCAGTTGTTTTTCATTCTGACCATACTTGGCTAATTTAATAAACATCTATATGTAGAATGGCAGACTTTATTACAGTTCTCATCCGCTTAACACAGATAACAGCAGGCCTCTAGTGACTACTGTTGCAAGAATAAACTGCTTTTGTCTAGGACTGACAATTGTCTTCAAGTATGAATGCCTCAGCCCCTTGGCTGAACTCAGTCAAACATACATCCCCACCATGTTCCAATGGTTATATAGAATGTGTAAAATAACAGAAGAAGCGACATGTGTGAAGGAAATTTATGTTCTGGTTTCAAGATGACTTCAGGGACATTTCTGTTTAGTGTGACACTCTCTCTTCTTGCTTTAGGATCTTTTATACAGGACAGAGAAGAGGCCATTGCTTGCACACAGCTGGCTGTAGACCTTAGGAAGTGATGATGACTCTTATGAAACCTGTTATGTTCGGTGGTTTGCAGTTTGTCATGACTGTTTTCTTATGTTTTACTGTACTGATATAGCATGTGTGGTCTGCTGCTCAGCAGTCTTTCCTGCCCGGAGCAGGGGGGGTGGACTCGATGATCTCACAAGGTCCCTTCCAGCCCTAAATTTCTGTGAATCCATGAAAGCCCATGTTAAGCTGTATCCATTTGTCATTTCTTTCCCTTTATAAAATATGTTATGCTGTTTATGTATATCTTTTCACTTGGACACAGTATGAGGCGTGCATACTTCAAGACAATTGCCAGTCCCAGACACAAGCAGAAGGAAATATTATTGGGTTGGGCACCCCAAGACATTGTCTGATTGCAATGAGGAATCAACTCCGCAACAGAGAGGCAACTAAGGAAAACAGCCCTTTAGCCAGAGTGGCTCCAAGTACCTTAGGTAGACCAGAAATTTTTAGAGAATCCTGACCCACAAGCAGGTTTCTTGGTTTGTTGTTGGGTTGGGTTTTTTTGAAGGGGTGACAGGGGAGTGGCTGATTGAAAATAATGTAGGAAGCTTGCTGTGGGCTATGCTTTGTCTTTTGGGTCCCAGGAGTTGGAGGTTCAATAACGCCAGCAGGCAGGGCCGGCAGCAACAACAGGAAGGCTGAATTCTGGAGATACTGCCAGGTCGCAGGAGAGCTGAGATGTAGCAGGTGAGAGGGTAAGACACTTCACATGTTTTGGTATATTGTGTGGTTGGTTTTGCTTGAATAATTCTTTTCTCCTATGTAATAAATCTTTTTGCTGTTTTGTCTCCTTATTGATTGTGGCAGAGAGTGACTTCTGGCTGAGGTTAGCCCTTTCTAAGGAATGGGGACCTATCATTTCTTTCACAGTCCAAGGGGGAAGCCACCTAGGCCTGCCAGAGATTTCCCTATGGCAGCTGTAGTGTTTCTGGCTGAAGGAGTTATCCCAGGGCAACCTCGATCTGTTCCTCGAAGAAAGTAGCAGCACAGTGGGGGAAAACTCAGGGCTCTGGAGGCCCTCTGTGAATGGGTTTAAGATAATAACATTTTTTCAATTCTTTTCATTTAAAAACAATCTGACAAGTTTTATAAATGATGCTGTATGTTGAGGCGAAAGCTCAGGCACAAAGAGGTGTGCCTGAAGACATCAAAACCTAATTGCATCTGATAGAGAGTCTGTAGCTGGAGAACTCACCCGAGAGCGCCTCCAAGAGCTTCCATTGGTTTCAGTGCTCGTCTTGATGCTGTAGCCATCTTGTACCCCTCAAAGAAACCTTTGTATGGCTCCACTACAGACAGCTGAGTTCACTTTAGATGAACTACCTCAGGTGCTGGAAGTAGCCATGGCAGTACACAGCTCCCAGCATGCTTTGCTAATTTACCCTGCTTCTGCTTTCCTTAGGGCTCCTTAACTATGCAGCAAGGCTGTTTTCAGTACTCACCTGAGCTGCAGTATCTCTATACTCTGGGCCTTGTTACATGGTAAATGTAGGCAGCGTCTGGAGTTCTTAACCCCTGGACTGGCTGCACCTTAACATTATTTAAATGTCTTAAGGCTCTCATTATGCGGCTTAGAGTTACACCGTTCTGGGACAGGATTATCTCCAATCCACCTGTTTTCCATTACCATACAGCCACTTCCCACAGCTATTCCACCCAAATTGAAGTCCTTCAGTATCCCAGAATGCTCTGAGTGCTGCAGGGCCTGTTCCTTTTTTCCCCCAGAGTGCCCAGCAGCTGAAGTGCTTCCCACGGCTGCCCAGAGCGGCTCAGAGCAGGCACGCTCTGGGGTTGCAGCCCTGGAACTCTCTGGTCTCGCTGACACGGACCCCGCGGCTCTGCCCTGAGAACAGGGCCATCTGGACTTTGATAGCCCTGATCTTAGTGTGGAGCCACCATGTCCATCTCAGCAAGACCAGAAAGCACCTGGGAAATTGCTTCTCTGGTCTCACTAAAACTGAGACAGTGGTGGGCCCAATCTCTGCCAGGCTGGAGCTGCGAGTGTGTCCTGTTCCTGCTCACCATGCCTCTAGTGAGAAGTCACAGCTGTGCAGTGTAGTGGGCAAACGGAGTTATGCTAAGACTTGTAACCATAATCCAGGCCTTCCCAGAACTAAGCAACAAAATTGAACAGAGTGCCTTTAAGGCACTGGGAAAAGTGAGTGCTGGGCGCTAGGTGAGCAAAGGACAGCAGTTTCCCCAGAAGGAATGCAGCTGACACGGTGCCAGGGGATCGGTGCACCATGTAAGGAATGCATGGCATGGAGCCAGAGTATTGGACAATTTGGGAATGGAGAAGGTATAAAAGTGATGGACAAACAAAGGAAACACACATGTGTGTGCTGTGTTACCACCTTGGGGAGACAGGAACAACCTTGGACTTCTTGTTTGAACAACAAAGAATCCAGAAATGAACACCCCGCACACCCAGCAGAGGACCAGGATCTGAGGCAGGTACCACCAAAGGTCACTGCTATAATGCCTGAAGGAACTGCTTGCCAGGTCATCTTGCATGGAAGAATACTTGTAATAAGCCTAGGGGTTACTATTAAAGTTCACTTGATACCAAATCAGACATGGGGCTGTGTCAATCTTTGGGGGTCTCTGGTAAAAGGAATCCTAGGGGCAACATGCAGGTGAAGGGCAGTCAGAGCAGGTTTTTTGACTTACCGTGCGATTGCTCCACTAAGCTGATTAACGTTTGTTCGGCTTACAGTGCAAGGTCTAACAAGGCCCATGATGCAGTCAATAGATATTCTTGAGAAAAAGTCACTAGAGCCAAACTCACTGAACATTTTTAAGCTGTGCACCAGCAGCCACAAATTAAAGCCAAGCTTGATCCAGAGTTTGGTTTAACACAGACGCTACTGCTGCAGGGTTGAACCTCTTCTGGACCTATTCTAGGGTCAATAATAAGATGTTTCATTACATTCAAAGATGAATCTGAGCATTGATCAAGTGCCCAGATGTCCACCCAGTGCTCCATCCAACTGAAGAACAAATTTATCCATCACATGGGATGTGAGGGTTTATATTAGCCTGTGTTTAAGTAGGCTGCTATGCAGGGCCTTGCACTCGACAGAGCTCTGATCTGGAAAAGATACCAATTCCCAGTCATGGCAATGAGGAGAGCAGTAATTTGCTCCTGTTTTTGCTCTGGTGAGTCAATGTGCACTCTTTTTTAGCTGGGCTGTTAACCATTTACAGACTTGAATGAAGCTTCTTACTCACACTGTGTATCTTGAAGGAAGGACTGGTTTTGGGTAATGCACAAATCACTGTGCTACCTCTACTATAAGATAAAACTTAGACTTTAAATAGAATGTCATTACAAAGGAATTTGATTTCAGCCTACATGCAGATGGTAAAAAAAAGGTACTTTAGATATGGATATTTGCTAACTGATAACTGGATCTCACTACCATATGCAACAAGGAGATATGAGAGTGTTATAAAGGAACACAGAACCTGGTCATTTTCTATTTTCTAAAAGAGAATCAGAGATTATCCACACCTAGCAGGAAATAAAGGTGAGCAAAGATGTCCAAACTAGAAACTGCAATGGGAATGATCATTGCTGTCTTTGACAGGTATGCATCAACTGAAGGCAATAAGCTAACCCTTACTAAAGCAGAACTGAAGACTCTCCTGGAAAAAGAGCTCCCTAACTTCTTGGCGGTAAGATGATATTTTAATATAATTTCTGTGTGACAAGCTGAAAGCTTTTCCTGTGTAAAGAGAAACATTCCCAGTGCTTTATGTTCTGGGCTAGGTCCTGAAATCATTGGTGTTGTAGGAAAACAAGTGGGTACCTTTTAGATCATCATGTGGACAAGGTGGCTTTTGAAAGGAAGACCCATCACAGCACTGAACTACTATATCACTCCCATTTATCAGTACTAGCATCTCTTTTTCTAGTGATCAGAGCAGTGGCACTGATACAGAATACTTCAGAAGTCTTCTGCTTCTGCTGTTTACTCCTCAGCAGAACTTGTAATCTAAGTATGAGGCTACTATCAACTGCTGTGAAGGGATTCTGCTGTTAGCAATCAAGGATGAAGAAAACAAATGGGGAATCTTTCCATAAAGGAATTTATACCACACTTGTAACTGTAGTATCTGAGCATGTACACAAAGAGATTATATAAAGAACAGCAGCAGTAGATGAACTTAGAAAACTCTGTTTAGCAAATGATTTTAATACAGTAATAATTAAAAGAAACTAAATAACTAAAGAATGTTTCATACAATATGAGTATTGTATTCTCAGGAGGTGCTTTTCAATGGCTATACTTTATAGTGATCTCTGCCTCTGTACAAATCCACAAATTCTGCTCTTACGGACCTTGCTGCTGCATTAAAGAGTCTGTATTTCTGTATAATTGCAAATGTCTGGAGTAGACAAGGATTGGCTCTAAGGGCTGGGTCGGTCGGGCTGGGGCGCGAAGCGGGGCTGGGCGCGAGCCGCGGCTGAACGAGGCGCCTACCCCCCCTCCCAGGGGGGCGGCGGCGACTCTGGACGCGAGCCGGGCCCTTCCTGTGGATTGCCCCAGCTGCGGCGGGCGTCGCCCGCCCCTCCTCCTCCCAAGGGGACTCTTTTGGCTGTGTGGTGCATATACAGTGAGCTCTCTGAATTCACTGGCACATCAGTGTAGCTCTTGCTGGAGCTCTACATCTAGCATAAGCTCTGAGTTCATCCACTGATTTGTCAGCTCTGGCTGGAACTCCTGCTGTCAGGCAGCTCCAGAGCCCAGGGGCGAGTGTCACTTTTGTTGCTCCCTTCTTTTCCCCTGTTGCTGAATTCAAATGGGGCTAGAAGGGGCTGGAAACCAATTGGAAGGGAGTGCAGTCATGGCAGCATCAATCCACTGGACTCCAGAACCATGCAAGAGCAGGGGATTCAGCCAGAGCCCATGCCAATCTGCTGGTGTGCTCAAAGAACTCACAGCACGTGCCAGACAGCCAAAGGACATGTGGCCACATACTCCTCACTGTGATCCTGGATCCACCCAAGTAGATGTCTAGGATCAGATGTTAGTAAGTGGTTTCTGTTGTCCATCCTTGTGACACTGAATGTACAAAACCTGTCCATAATTAATCATCTAAGTAGAGCACCGAGACCTGTGCATTTGACATATTCTAAACAGGCAGTAGCAGAGCTCTGCAGCCGCCCCATGACAGCAGGCTGCCCCCCACTCCACAGCAGTCACTGCCAGCTCTCACTGCACTGCATGCGGATTGGGTGCATGGAGCACAGCACTGCTGGAGCTCAAGGGTTGTGGGAGGCTGGCCCAGTTTGGGGCTCTCTGGGGCTGGCTATGCTCTCCTCTGTTCCCCAGGGCTTGGCGGGGGTGGCAGGGCAGAGTGCCCACCCAGATGGGCTCAGTGCTAGTGGAGAAAGGAGTCCTTGGTCGATGTTCCTGGACCAGGGGGCTGAAGGCTGGGGGAAATAGAATAGCTGGGGGTCTAAGAGCTCACAGACAGAAGGGGGGGGAACCACTGCATCCTGGGATACTGGAGAACTTCAACTTGATCGATGCATCTGTGAGCAGTGGCCACAGTTTAATGGAACAGGAGCTGGGTTGCCAGAACCAGAGATACTCTTGCCCTGAAGTGGCATAATTTTGAACCGCATAACAAATACTATAAGCCACTTTCAGGTGTTGATACTAGGAGTTAAGAACTCCAGGAGCTGCCCAAAATTACCGTCTAACAAGGCCCTAAGAAGCGACTAATCATTACATTCAGGACTGAAGTTAAAGTAACTTCCAAAGCAAGAAGAAAAGTCCTTTCCTATAAGCCAATGACATTAACTCCACATGTTCATATGCAGAACTGGGTAAAATACAGGGGCGGGGAAAGCATTTGCAAATATTCATCTGACAAACACATATTACCACTAGAAAATAAGTTATCATTAAAATCCCATTATTTGGGGTTTCTTAACATTCATGAGTACATTTTTGTTTACAAGAATGTTCTCAGAAATAGGGTGCTCTAAATATTCATGCAAATGTACTTTTTCACCGATATTCACACCTGTGATAGCTGACAGCCATCTTGAAAGGTCTTTGTGAATCATTTGGAGAGCAGAAAAAAGCAGCATAGGATATAAGTAACCTAAGTACATTATTAAGAGAGCACACTGAAATTAACACCAACATCAACAGTCCATAAGTAATCCAGAAACTGCTTCATTAGCAATTCATGGACTAATTTCAGATTTCCAAATTCATAAAAATGGAAAAATTTCTTTGCAGATAATTTGCAAACATTTAAAGGGAACAATATTCATCAGACATTGTTAAATGGAGTCTAGCCATATACCTATATGTTTGATGATATTGGCACATCTTGGTTTATACTTTAATCCTTCTAGTTTTTTAAAATGGAAGATTGTATAAAATAAAATAATTCCAATTTAACTAATTAAAGCATGATGCCTCTGATTTCCATTAAGTTGGTACATGTTTTCAGTTCACAGTAAAACTCCAAGATACTTACATAACTTCATAAAACTATAAAATCAGTTTGCAGGAGCAGTTTGTTAGGCTACAAAAAAAAATTTCAGTTAATTATATTTTATACTCTACTGCCATCCTCTGTTTATTTTGAAAACTGCAACAAGAGCATTAGAGTTAGTCAAAGCCTAGAATCAAGAAAGGCCTCTATAAGCTTTTTTTTTTTTTTTTTAATTTGCAGCTGAACATTTTATCAGTGTAAATTTTTCTGGCCACAGACTTCAATGTGCTGGAAAATGTGGTTTTCTAATATTATTCTTTCTTCAAAAAGTTACACCACTCTCCTGATGAAGTTAGTCTTGCACTAGCATATACATTGGTCAAGTAACAAAGTTCAGCAGAACATGCTGTAAGCTAGGGCTGCATGAAGGTTCGGTCACCGATTCAATTCGGCAGAGATTCGGCCCAATGTGGTGGCTGAATCTCCAAATTTGAATCAAATCAGAAGACCCTTTAATCTGTCTGAATCGAACTGGAACCCTCCGAATCGACTCAGAGAGATTCAGAAAGATTCAATGATTCAGACATATACGCAGCTTTAAATCTTTTTTCTACATACCTCAAGGTACCAGGTGGCTCATGAACACCGAGATGCTGGGGCAGATTGAATGTCCCACCGGAGCACTGGGTGGGGGAGGGTCACAGCATGCTCGGCAGCAGACCCAGAAGTGGACCAGAAGCATTTCCAGTCCACTCCATCTGCCCCACCATCACAGCGTTCATGATCTGTGCCTGATACCTCGAGGTATGTAGGAAAAAAATATTTAAAGTTGTGTCTATGGCCCAATTGCTGATTCTCTGAATCAGCATTGAATCTTCAGATTCAGATTTGGCCGAATCAAATCGGGGACAGTGATCTGAATCAATGAATGGAATCACTGTTCCCAGCTCGGGCCTAATCTGAATCAAATACAGCCCGTTTCGCACACCCTTACTGTAAGCAAAATGAAAACAAAGCCCTGAGGAACTCAGCAAGGATTTTTTTTCCTTCAGAGGATAATATTATTAGAAATCAAAACAAGGTAATTGAAGCAAACGGAGTAATGGAAAAGCTTGATGTTCAAACCCAGCCTTGTAGCCATCATGCACATACCTCTATCTTTTGAGTGGCTTTTTCAGTCTTTTCCCAACCTGCCTTGGAAAGGTAGTGAAGGTGAGCTGAGGTTAATCGCTAGTTCATGGCGAAGCAGGCAGTGCCTCTTCACCCAAACCCCACATGAGTACTAAGATATCTGGATCCAGAACAGTTCTCTTGTTCAATCAACTTATAATTATGGTGTTGCCTTATGATCTCAAAGCAAACTACTGGTCTTGTTACAGTCTGCTCCTTTTCTTTTGTAGTCGGCAAAAGACAAGGATGCTCTTGACAAACTCATGAAGAACCTGGATGCAGATGGAAATTCTGAAGTAGACTTCAATGAATTTGTCATCTTTGTGGCAGCCATGACTTCCTGCTGTCATAAATACTTCGAGCAGAAAGGACCAAAATGATTGAAGAACACCTCATATATGAATCTGGGGTTATTCTGTATTCCACATGCTAATATTATTGATAGCTTTCTTTGTTCCATGTACTAAGATACTTTTACAGGCAAACTGGGGAGTAAAAATATCTCCTACTCTGTTTATTATCCTGCCTTGAATGGTAATAAATTTTTAATGAGTCTGTTACTTGTGTCATTCGGTCTTTGTGTTTTTCCAAAAATATATCGTTTATACACCTTTGCTTTCCAAAAGTCTAGTCTTATACTTGTAGGTAAAAATCATTGCAGTGCAGGGAATCCTCAGAGCTGTAACAGCCATTAGAGCACTGTACCAATTGAAGTAGTATTTTCACTGGGGCATAGACTACAGAGATTCAAATTATTGAGGATTACAATCTACAACTATTAATCTATTTTTATATAATATAGATTTCATAGACATTTGGGCTGGAAGGGACCCCGGAGGATCATCAGGTCCAGCCCCCTGCCCCAGGGGCAGGAAGTCAGCAGGGATCATAGGATCCCAGCAAGATAAGCATCCAGATGTGTCTTGAAGGTGTTCAAAGTGGGTGCTTGAACCGCCTCAGGTGGCAGTCTGTTCCAAACCTTGGGGGGTTGGACAGTGAAGAAGTTCTTTCTTATGTCCAGCCTGAACCGGTCACAGTGGAGTTCATGACCGTTTGATCTTGTCATCCCTTGGGGGGCTGTGGTGAACAGTCGTTCCCCCAGATGCTGATAAGCACCCCGATAAACTTACAAGTGGCCACCAGATCACCCCTGAGCCTGTGCTTTTCCAGGCTGAATAGCCCCATTGCTCTCAGCCTCTCATCATAAGGTCTGTTTTCCTGACTTCTGATCACACGCGTGGCTCTCCTCTCCACCCTCTCAAGCTTAAAATTATGTAAAATTATTATAAAATTAATTAAATAAAATATCTATGAAATATATATATATATATATATAAGCAATACCACCCACTACTGCAGTTATTTCAGTACACGTGTGCATAGATCAATAACCATTTTTCTCAGAAGAGTATTTGCTTTACTGATATTAGGCATTGTATAAATGCATCCACAATAGGGATTGCGCATAAAAACAAATTTCAGTGGAAGAAAGGAAGAAGGTTTAATTGTTTCAGTACAGAAACTGTGGCTAGACTAGACCTAACTTACTTGTTTTACTAGACTAGGCCTTTTGCTTCCCTAACAAGCAACTGAAGAAGGACTACTGTAGATGGATACAATGAGCTTTTCAGGCAACTGGGTGGAGAACAATGACTAACTTCTCTGGCTTGTAAAGACCAAAAACATCATGCAAATAATGATACTTTGACTCTTCTTCCACCTGAGGATCCCAAGATGAATTACAAAAAATAATGCATTTTAATTTATCTTCACGACCTTTCTAGCTCCACTTTTTACCCAAGAAGAAGTTAGAGCCATATTTGCAAGTGCAAGGTATTCATATAACTTTTCAAATGCTCCTTGAATCATAATAAAATACTCTTGTAATAAATTGGTTTACATACTTGTGCGTGGGTATGAGAGAGAATTAGTTTTTACTAAACCAAGTGCAACTTCTCAAGTTCATGTCATAGTCCAATAGCAAAATGAATGAGAAATAAGCAAAAAATGAATGAACCTGTTCGTCACCCTAAGCATTGTGAATGGAAAACAACTGCAACAGAAGTACATATATTCCCATTGTTCTAAAACTCTGGCTCAAGGTGACAGAGGCATAAGTCTCCTTAAACCTAGGCATGTCTCTTAACTACAAAATCATTTTTTTCCTTCTCCTGCTAAGTCTTGGCAAGGTGAATTATCTGCTACCTGGCCCAAATAAATCCTGCTTCAGCAATTAATTTTGCCAGTATTCTGTAGCAAAGCAGGATCATTGGCATATATACTAATACTCAAAGCCCCAAAGTCGCAAGCTAAGAGCGGTAGGAATATATTTGGCTTCTGTTTAAGTGAGACTTCCCTCCCTTTGCCTGTGCACCCTTCCTCAAGTAGCCCACAGGTTGGATACACACATTCACCTTCCAGGAGAAAATTCACCTTCTTCATATACATGACTGAGAGCATCCCACAGTCTTTGCTTCTACTTGGCATCTTTCTACCAATAAGCAATTACAAGTCTCCTACTGCACAAAGGAAAGTGAACACTCACAAGACTGGTTTTTACACATTCATCACAGTCTAATAAAATACCATTGCAATGAATTGGTGAGTCTGCCTGTGCGAGAGAGAGAATCATTCACTTGATCACTAGGATGAAGTACAACTCCTCAGTGTATCCTATTCCACACTCTGTTAATAGCAAATAGAGATCTCCCTTTAGCGAAAATGCTAAAGACCTGTTCTTTTAGAGCAGGATGATCTAAGTTTTATCACTATCACCGTACAACCGCAAGTGACCAGAATACAGAGCATAAAGACAACTGTAAGTTCCTAGGCTGCCGTGGCTGTGTGCAGCATCATGCATTGAACAGCCATGCCAACCAACCAACGCCCTCACACCTCAGAGTTAACTGCTATCTGTTAACAGCCTTACTGTGGTATGCTGATTATGCTGCCTGTGCAGAAATCAAACATAATGATATTATGTGTAAATGAATAAAATGCACATCTATTCAGGGATCGCAACCCTGTCTCTGTCTCTTGTGCAAACCTCTCTGTACTTCTGGATGTATGAGCTACATCTCTCAAGTTTTAGACCAACTTGTTCCTTCCTCCTGACAGATACGCAGTTCGCCACATCACCTTATTGTAACACAATCTTACTGACCCTGACATGTTACGCACACCTTTCATGTCTTCACGCATAGACTATCACCATTTTTCCGCCCTATGAGATAATTATACATATGAAATTATATATTAACCTCAATTACAGCAGTTTATCTCAATAATGTGTAAAACAGATCTGATATCACTTAAATTTACTTCAGTATACCTTATCTTTTTTTTTTCTATCTAGCATTGGTGTTTATCAGGAAGCTCAATTTGCTATTAATATTTATCTTGATATTGTAATAAAGAAAAATGCTTTTATACCACTGAGTGGCACTAAATGCAACCTTTTTATTACCCATGGAGCAAACAAAAGTTACTATATCATTATTAAGCTAAGCAGATCAGCAGGAATTTAAAGCAAGCTTTCCTTTAAGGTAAAGAACTTCAGATTTGTTTTTCCTAATCTATAGTCCTTTTAAACAAAAGTTACATATTCCACAACTTCCAGGTCAGTTCACAGGGAATGAGCAGCCCGCTCATCAGCTGAATCATGTGGGATCTGAGCACCTCTGAAAAATGGGTACAATAAGGGCCTAAATATGGCTGTAGGTGCCCAATTCTAGACATACAAGTAAAATACCTGCTGTAATTTATAAACCACTCCTCAAACTCCCGCATAGTGATTCTTAATCCCACTGACATCATTTTAAACACTTTTAAAAATATAATATACTATTAACACATATGACAACTTTACTTGTTAGCTAGGGGATTCAGCTTATTAGCCCTGTTCCAAACCCTCTAGCCAGGAGAATGTAAAACAGAACCGTGCTAAACTCAGCCATGGCAGAGTATCCAAGCTATCCCTTCTCATGCCAGTTCCAATGTGCTTTGAAATGAACAGAGATAAGTATCGTCTTTCTTACTGCTTATGCTGACATGAGTGCCAGTCCTGCAAACATTTGTGTGTGCATTTAACATTTTTGTTGCAAGCAGACCCATGAGGCTACAGTTAATTTTATACAGTAGTGGCAGAAGTGAGCGCATGTTTAAGGGTGTGCAGTTTTGAGGCCTTGTATTTTTAACATGGGAAATATCAACAGAGCAATCCCAGAACTTCGCAAAACTCTAAGCCAATGGAGAATATGCCATTTACTGCAAGGCTGAAAAACAAAACATAGGGTGCTTGCAGACCCTATGTAATTGCAGTGTGTCACAGCAGACTCAATCAAGTCTACTGGAGCATGCCAATTTGCACACTCCAGCAGCCACAGCCTCTTGTGTATTCAGTGTCCCCATACTTCAAAGTGGTGGCCGGGACGCTTTAACTAAAGCTCATTGAACAAGTTTTACTTAAAACACCCTCACCGCCATTTTGAAATACAGGACACTGACTACACGAGATGCCTCAGATGCTACAGTCACTCTAATTAAAGCTCCCACCTCCAGAGCACGGCTAAAGGCATCCATAGTTCCTCACCTGATAAGTCTTAAGTGGAAGTGATGCAGTAATGAAGAATTAACATGTGGCTCCCACATTACTATGTAACAAAAATAGCTTTCCCAAGCACATCCCATAACCCAGAGTTTCAAATTAAGTAATTTTAACGTCTCTCCATCTGCCTGACCCTTGCTCCTTCCCCAATACTTTTTATTCACAACATGAACCCATGTTATCCCAGAATGCACTGGGTATTTCCTTTTTAAGGAAGTATGAGAGAGAATTTATGGCATACCTACCTAAATGGAAAAGTGAATGCAATTTAATCAGGTACAGAGAAGCTCATGTAACCCTCAGAAAATATTTGCCTTGATACCTTGATTGAACCTAGCAATACATTAGTCCTATCTCCTTTAAGTATTTTTTCTAGGAAAGCATTAAAGTAACAAACTGGCATACTTTAGCTATAATTGACTCAAGAAAAGTAGTTAGCTTAAATAATGAGCCAAATTTTTTGGGGGGGCTATTTCATTTCTTGTCTGCTCTTCAAAGAAGCCGATGCTCTAAACCAACCAGCCACTGCTTGATTTAACAAAAGCTGCTTATGAACCTTCAGTTAGAAGTGAAACTAATTATACTAATAGTCTGACTCTCTTGTCTGTCTGTAACAGTTGCTGTTTCAAATTTTCAAGGATATACTTCCAAAGCTCAAATCAGTCCTTGAGCCCTTTAATCTGATCCCAGCAACAGTCTTTCTCTGGGCTCAGAAACACAAACTGTAATGCCCTGAGTGCTTTTGCTTCCCAGGGCTCAGGCAAAAGCAAACAGTCCATATGGACACACCTGTAACGTGCCCAGCAACTGTGGGGATATCCTCCAGGGTCAATTCTCTTGTACAGACCTCTAGACTGCTTATAATACGCT